GGGCGGCGGGGGCGGGGGCGGGCCCTTCCCCTCCACACACCCCCCTCCCGCTGCTGCAGGGGAGAGGGGATGTGCAGCCCAGAGGACTGGACGCTGTCCCTCGAGGACAACCTCACGCGTGGGGACGCACGGACTGAAGAAGCAGGCTGGAGAAAAGTCTGCGAGTACTTTATTGCACGGGTTGTGGGAAGTGTGCTCTCCTGGACAGGCAGCAAAGAGGGGACCTGGCAGGTTCCATCTAGGTGAAGCCATCAAGGGCTGTTGTCCCGGGGCACCATCCTGGGGCCTTCCGGAGGCAGGGAGGGTGCCCCGGGCTGCTGCCTCTGCCGGCGTTCCTGCTGGATCCTGGCTCTGTTGGCCCTGGAGGAAAGAGCGCCTGGGTGATCAGGACCGGACCTGGAACGTGGCACTGGAACAGAGAGCAAGGCAGGATAGAGCAGGGACAGACCTGGCCCTGGCCCGGGTGTCGTTGTAGATGGCTGTGATGATCCGATCCTTTTCATCCATGAAACTCCGGTGCACCTGCTCCAACTTCCTGCAAGGGGATTGCAATTACCCTGGGGTCTCCAGAACTCCCTGTCCCTGGAGCCCTGCTGTCCTCCACCAGATTCTAGTTACTAGTCTCTCCTAAAACTTTGCATCTCTCAGCCTAACACACAGTGTCTGTAATAAGGTGACGAGAAGAACACCAAGTAGCCCAGGTCCATGCTGGGGAGTGGTGCCCCAAGTGTCTGGCTGTCCTGGTGAAGGTTGGTGAAGCAGCTCTGAACATAGGGGTGCTCCTCCCCAGGAGATTAGAAAGGGACTGTCTATCTCCATCATTTAACTAGGCAGTACTGGCAGTGGATATCATCCCTCTGGCTTCTTTGCTGCAGAGAGAGTGGGGGCAAGGCCTGACTGCACATGAGCACCTCTCCGGTGCACTTGTCCCATTCCTCTCCATTTTTCTGTTTTTAGACAGGGTTGCAGGTAGCTGAGGATGACCTTGAACTTTTTTTTATTGAGTTCTGTGGGTATGTTACATGGTATGGGTGCCCCCAAAGGGCAGAAGATGGTATTCAATCACTGGGATCTGAGTTACCACACGGATGCTGGTCCTCTACAAAAGCACTTTTTTTGAGACAGGATCTCACTATATAGCCCTGGCTGGCCTGAAACTTGCTGTGTAGACCAGGATGGACTTCACAGAGATCCACCTGCCTCTGCCTCCCATGTGCTGAGATTAAATGTGTGCACCACCACACCAGGCTTCAGCAGCAAGTGGGGTTTTGTTTTTGTTTTTGTTTTTAATGTATTATTTAATGTGTATGAAGGTTTTGCCTGCATCTGCAGAAGTGCACCCATGCATGCAATGCCCACAGAGGCCAAAAGAGGGTGTCGGGACTCCTGGAACTAGAGTTAAGGACAGTTGTTAGCTGCTATGTGGGTGCTAGGAAATCAAAGCTAGATCCTCTGCAAGAGCAGCCAGTGCTCTTAACCAGAGTCATTTCTCCAGCCCTGGCAGCAAGTCTTCTTAACTGCTGGACCATCTCTCCAGCCCCTAAACTTCTGATCCTTCTACCTCCACCTCTTGAGTCATGGGATTAGAGATGTGCACAAATGTACCTGGTTTATACAATGCTAGGGATAGACCCCAGAGCTTTGTGCACGCTAGGTGAGCACTCTCCAACTGAGCTATATCCCCAACCCTATGTATGTGTTTCTTATGTACAGTTTTAGATGGTTCTAGCCTCTCTGGCAACCAGCCCCAAAGATTAACATTCAAATTATAAGAAACTGAAAAAAATTTAGCCCTTTCATGTACCACTGCTGCTTAATTGAGCAGAGAGGCTGCAAAGACTGATTTTATAAAGTTCTTAGCTTGAGAGAGACAAGGTATGAAGACCATGGGCTGCTGTGGCTGCCTGACCACCCCTATCCCCACCCTCTGCCTAGCACCTGATGAGGATAGGGAGGCACCTGAAGGCAACGTAGTGCAGGCCCATGCCTGCCAGCATGAGCAGGAGGCAGTAACCCAGTACCCGCTGGTTGTGTTCACGTTGCTGCTGCCTCGACCTGGGCCCCTGTGGCCTCACATTGTGAAACTGGGCCCAGTATTGTGCATTGGGGGGTTCCCAGGAGCTGCTGGGGAGCAAAAAAAGGGGGAGAAACAACAGGGATATGAGGCTCCGTAGAAGAGTGGGGAGGGCACAAGAGGAGCAGAACTACTGTACCTGTAAGTGTGTCGGGCAGACTTGTGTTGGGTTGTGGTCCCTGGAGACTTTGGGGGGCTGGCAGAACGGAGCCGGTAGTCGTAGTTACGACGGCTCTGCTCACGGCTAAGCACTCGGTATGCCTCATTCAGCTCCACAAAGCGGCTGTGCAGGGCTGGGTTCCCAGGGTCTCGGTCAGGGTGTAGCTGGGGTAAGGTAGGGGTCCCCTTATCTCATTTTCCATGTCTCTTCCCAGGACCATCCTGAGGAAGTCCACCCATACAGGCTGACATCACTCCCAAAGATCCTGCCTGGACACTGACCCTCACTCACAGGCTTATCCAATCCTCCAGAAGGCCAGAGAATTGGGAACTGCAGATTCCTGCCCCTCATCCAAGCTCTCTCCATCTTACTGACCTCCCACTAACTCCATATTACCTAGCCCTGGTTTTTCAAGCACCAACAAGGAAGTAAAAAAAGAAATCAACCAGGTGGCTAGAGAGATGGCTCAGTGGTTAAGAGCCCTGGTTGCTCTTGCAGAGGACCTGGGTTCAATTGCCAGTACCCACATGGTGGACAGTTTGCCGTTCACCCACATGACAGCTAACAACTTCGTAACACCAGTTCCAGGGGATCCCCTCTTCTGGCCTCTGGGGGCATTTCAGGCAAACATTCATGTACATAAAATAGAAATAGTAAATTAAAAAAACAACAACAACAACAACAACAAAAAAAAACAGGCCAGAGAGATAGCTCAGCAGTTAAGAGCACAGACTGCTCTTACAGCGGACCTGGGTTTAATTCCCAGAACCCACATAGCAACTAACAACTGTCTGAAACTCTAGGTTCAGGGGATCTTACACCATCTTCTGACCTCCTCAGGCATTACATGACACGGGTACGCATACATACATACATACATACATACATGTAGGCAATACACCCATATGTATACAATAAAAATAATAAATAAAATCTTTTAAAAACAACAACTAGCAGCCAGGCATGGTGGTGCATGCCTTTAATTCCAGCACTTGGGAGGCAGAGGCAGGTGGATCTTTGTGAGTTTGAGGCCAGCCTGGTCTGGATAGTGAGTTCTAGGACAGCTGGGGCTACAGAGAGACCCTGTCTCAAA